TTTTGTTCCTCAATCCCGGGGGAGGTAGAGAGGCGAGACCAGAAGGTGACAGGAATCTGTACAGATTTCCAGAGTCCCCCTCTGTTCCTGACCTCTCACCTTAAAGATTTCCCTGCCAGCGTCGCCCTCCTCCCGAATCTGTGCCAGCTCCGTCTCCAGGCCCACGCACTGCTCCCTGTACATGCCAGCCAGCCGGTGTGTCTGCTTCAGCTCCTCCTGCAGCGCCTGGAGACATACGTCCAGCTGAGCCATCGCTTTTATCTTCTTCCAGGAGGATTTCTTTTAATTTATACCCTTATCCGGAAAACTGAATCGCTCGGTCTTGAACCAGGCAGCCTACCCTAATTTCCTCCTTCTGTGTCTGGTGTGACTGCAGTTCAGGAGTGGGTGTGGAGAGGACGGGGGCGCTGTAGCCCAGGGTCTGGCTACCATGGTGCTCCCTCAGCTTCTCCTGGCAGGAATCTAGCTGCCGCAGGAGCCGGTCCTTCTCCATCATCCAGCCCTTCTCCCGGGAACGGGTCTCAAACTTGAGCTGCAGGAAGTCCCTGGTGTTCTCGTACAGAAAGCTCTGGGTGCGCTGCAGCCTGACAACGACGGCAAGCAGAAGGTGGACATATTTCTACTGTTTGCTAACATCAGGAAGGCGAGTAAGAGGATGAAGAGTATGACCACACTTTTCAGTGAGCGCTGCGATTCGGTCCTGATCCCTCTGTTGCTGCACTTGGGACTCCTCTATGTGGATCCGTCGGTCCTCCTGCAATGTTTCCACCTGTTCCTTGGCAAGGCGTGTCTGCTCCTCCATCTGGGCCTGCAATGCCTCCACCTGGACATGCCGTGCATTACACTAAATGTGATGCACCAGTACAAGAAGCCACCCTAAATGAAATAGACACAGTTGCCGTATTTATATACCTGCAGCAGCAAAGTCTGGTTGTCCTTCTTGTACTGCTCACAGCTAACCCCGGTGTCTGTGCCCGTCACACATCTGGGCACCTTCCGCCGAGATTCTGCTGAGGAAATACATAGCGCTTTTAGCGAACAGTTCCTCACTGCTTGAAAGGTGCTACGTAAAAAGGCCTTTTTTCCATTTGAACAACTTAAGTCAACTTATGACCTTGGTCCACAAGTTCTCATCAGCAAGCAGATGTCTTTACAATTACAGCAGCAGTCTGTACAAATCAGACCTGTTTTTTCTGCCCTCCGCCGATCCGGAATCTTGGGCTGAATATTCTTTTGGGGGATGATGACCTGATGAAGCCAGAATGACAGACTGCTGAAAATAACTATAGATACAAGTTAAAAGAAAAAAAAGTCACACATGATATAGCAAACAGATCTTATTTAGGCTAACAGCTTCCAAGCCACAAATTCAGTGTCAGAATAATTATACCTTAAAACACCTTCCTGCCATTTGGAAGTAGGAACTTAGATGATTTCTTACCCTGTGTGGTGGCTCCTGGTGAAAATATGTGATCTCTCCTACATCTGGACCCACCAGCGCCAGAAGGTGCTGGATCTTCTTCCGGTCTTCCAGCTCCCTAAATCCAAACAGGGAAAACCCGTCAGCACATATGCCTACCGTTTAAACCGTGGCTTTTGGAGATGAAGATGCCCACCTGATTTTCAGCCGGTCGTTCTCAGAGTGGAGCCTGAGCGCCTGCTCCCTCTCCTGGAAGAGGCAGAGCTGCATATCGCTCAGGGCCTTCTGCAGCTCGGCAATCTCGCTCTCCCGCTGCCTGACCTCCCACTCCAGCTTGTGCTGCGCGGACACCACAATCCAGGCTGAGAAACGGCATTTTTCCACGGAGCCGGAGCATGTTCAAGTCCCACGTGTGACATTTCTGTGTCACCCCTGAGCGAGGTGTTCGACACAAACTGCTTCAGTGAGCAAACCTCATTAAGCAATAAAATGCAGTCAGATATTAATTATACACATGGATGGATGGATTAGATCAGCATTTCCCAACCCGTTCTTTGGGGAACCCTAGACAGTCAGCATTTTTGCCTTGCCATTGCTTTTATATAATCGCTTCTTCAAACTAATTTAGCATAATATGAAAGACATCCTAAGTAAACATTACTCAGTTTTCAAATGATCGTGTTTTATTGAAGGAAAAAAGGTCTAATTTTTCACGGCACAAAAGACAGGCAGGCAGACAGACAGAAGGACGCAGGCATCAGGGGCAATGGGGAGGTATGTGTACCCCTCCAATATTTAATTTGGCTTAATTCGTCCCTCCAACAAAATAGAACTTTACATTAAAATGATTAAGTTGTGCCCCACCAATGTCGAACTCTCGCCTAGTCATGGGATAGACAGGATGGATGGATGGATGGATACGTAAAAAACAATGGCATCCAAGTATAGTACAGACACGTGTACTACTCATCCTAGGGATGCATGGCAGTTTGGCCCAGTACCTGGTCCTCTGTCGTGGACCTGTGCTTCTCCAGCATCTGCAGCAGGTCCTCATGCTCGCTATCGAACTGCGCCACCTTCTGCCGGTAGAACTCCAGCAGCTCCCGCGAGGGGCGGAGGTGAGCCAGCCGCTCGGAAACAGGGGGCAGAGGGGAGTCGGCGTCCCGGCTTAAGCTGCCATTACTGCTACTGGGAAAGAGGGGCTCTGAGTGAAGCTTGTACCCCTAAGCTAAGCCACACCAAAGCAACACACACAAGATATTACACAGGCACTTAAGGTACTTGACCGTACTTGTGTTCCTGTGTACCTCTTTTGCATCATCTTCCATTGCCGAACACCGGTTCCAATACTAAGAGCAGAAGTACAAAGGACTGCAAAAATCCCCAGGTGGCGTTCTTGCTCCGCCACAAATATCAAAGATCCTTGCTAAACGAGACCAATCCCATGATTCACTGTGCCCCAAGTTCATTCTTCAGAAGCAAGTTAGCAAGACCACTCTTGCTAAGACCACAAGACCTCATTTTTGCTAGTGAGAAACACCTTTAGACAAATAGCAGCATATATTAAATATTCACCTGTTCCTATAAGCACCTGTCCATTGCAGGGTTGCAGTAAGATTGGAACTTATCCCACAAAACAGCATAAAACATGGTGCGCAACTGCCAGGCAATCACAGGAGGCACAAAAGTGTGCACACACACTATACAATATACACTATACATTTGCCTGACCCAAATGTATATTTGGGTCAGGCAACCCACAACCATGATGGTGTCAGGTTAGTGTTACACACTGAACCACCGTGAAAGTCTGTTCTAGAATTTCTTAAGTATTAGGCCATACAAACAAAATGAAATAATAATAATAATAATAATAACAGCAGCAAAGCATACCACTGAAAATCTTGATCTCTGGTTGGTGGAGACTCCATTGCTTTGTATACCGAACCTGTAGGATAATCTGTAGGAGAGGACACATTAACACACTGACAATAATTCAATAGTGCAGCACATTCTAATGATAATGTAATATGCAAAAAAAAAAAAGTCAGGTGTTACTGGAACGATATTTTATTTAAAATGCGTCGGTATTTTCCATTACCATCAAAACTCCAATACAGTAACAGTAGTCTACTAGTTAATTTCACAATAGATTAAATAAAGTGAAGTACGGGCGTCTACACATATATAGTTTAGAAAGAACCGGCAAAACCGCCTAAGTGCCGCAGCGAAATCAGCACCCGAAGTTTCGGCGTTTGATTGCTTTTGTCTACAACGCCCCCGTGCGTCTCGTTGCCATATCTACATCAGCTGGCAGTTTAAACTACGGTAACTGAAAAATTCGCACACAAAACACACACCGTTATTTATTTATTTATTTAACAGTGGTGATCACTTCATTTCCAAGTCCACCAGTTCTTTAGTATGACCGAAGCGTAATAACCTTGCAATTCATCCAGAGAAACAGTCCATCTAAGATATGTAGAAGTGACCGTTACTAGCAAACCACCTACCTTTCAGATATTTTGGGAATTGTATTAACGATTATTAATTAACTAAACTAACTCTGTTCGATGAAACTCTTTAAAAATCTTCATCTTAGAGCTTTCTTAAAGCTATAACTCCGTGCCTTTCCTATCTAGTTTAAACTGTCTTGTGTAAACGTACCTTTCCCCGGAAATCTCCACACGTAGCAACGCCCCTCGTGCAGGAACCACTATGGTGTATGGGTAATGTATTTTTAATGTTAATTTGTAGTATCCACGATGTCTCTGTGGGTGGGTGGGTGTGCGTGCGCGCGCGTGTGGGTGCGTGTGTGTGTGTTTATCAGTCTGCAGAAAATCAAACAACACGGAACATTAGGAAATTCATTTTATTTTCAATTTTAATAACATCATTCCTTAGATAAAAATGCAATGTTACAGGAATATACATCAGAGATTAATTTAAAACTTGCTTCCAAGGACCATACAGTCTAAATATATTTTCCCTTTTTTTATTTACTGGTAGCGTGCGTTATAAGCAAGACAGACTCTGTCACCAAAGACAGACTGACAGTTACAGATACAAACTGTACATCACCTATTTACAAATAAACTTTTTGATAAATTTTTATAATTTTTTTTTTGAAAATAAGAGTAGAAAAGTGATTGGATTTTCTGATTTTTATTTTTTCTTTCCCTTTATATTTAAAAGAAAGAATTAAAAATAAAGAGAGAAAAATGGACAGTGGCAATGCAAAGATACCCAAGGGGGGGTCAGGCATCAGACAGCACAGGAGCTGCTCTGCAGGAGAAGGAGCTGGACTGAGGGAAACTTGTGTTTTTATATATAAATAAAACACTCTAAATGATTCCCCATCCAGAAAAGCTGTGTCATTAAAGTTGGTTCCTAAACTGCCAAGATTACTAACTTACAACAGCTTTTAATCAGGACATCTGCCTTTGGCTCTCCTCTTTATAGCCACTAACCACTAACAGTAATAAAAGTACAGTGAACAAAACATGGCGTCTTTAGGCAGTTTCCCAAACGTCCTCTGACCAAAGAGATGCTGAGACGTATGAGTCCTTTTCACATTTTGCCTGTTTTTTTTTATTTTTTTTTATTTTTTTTTTTAAATGACAATCTGGGTCTGAGCTAAAAAGGCCAAGAACCCGGACCTGGAGTTATGGAAACAACATACTTATTTTTTTTGCCAGGAACTGAAAAGCAATTTGTGAGACAAATTCAGATAGAAGTTTTCCCAAATATAACGTTAAACTCAACATTCACATTTTCAGAAAAGCCTGCTGCACATCCTTAACATGGAACATCGCTTAAAGACCCCGTTGACCACGACATGACACCAAAACATTCAGATGGCTGTTTATTAACGTTAACAATCTGTTTCATGGAACCTGCCAGAAGTGGACTGTGCTGCCTCCAACCACCTGCATTTCATGACCACAAAAGGAACTTAGAGCTGGCGACTGATAACCAACATGCAAATAATTCAAATATCTGCAAATATTGATTATTGCATTACTAAAGGTGCAATTATCCTACTTCTGCAGATGACAATTATGATGTTAGGTTTAACAGTCATTTTGAAAGAGGATGCACAGAAATGTAATGCAGTATTATGTTAATAGACCGAGTGCAACGCGGCCTTTCATAAGTGTAGTTCTTTGAAATAGGAGACCTTTATTAGGTAATTACCCATATAACATAAGCAGGGTTTTATTCAAAGGGGATAGTAACTTATAATAAAGTGACTGATGACATGCTTTCATTTAATAAATGCATGCAAACATTCTGACATACCTTTCTTGACCAATCACACACAATCTTGAGAAATGCCAACCACAAGCTGCTGTACAGCATCGTACACTAGTTATGTAAACCTAACCGAGCTCAGACACACACAAAGAAAGATATGGTTTAAAATATGTATGTTTGTGGGAAACATTCACGTTCTATTTAAATACATGAAGAAGCATTGTTTCAAATAATGCCCTCGAAATATGGAATGCCCATATTATTCTTCATGTTTTTACGTACCTCTTTGTAGGAAAAAAGTTTAAGCGACAAAGAATTTTTAAAAAGTTGAATGGTGCCCTGAATTAAAATGAACTTTCTCACAAACTTTCCAGGGTTACACTTCCATGCAAATATGGGATCCAGTTGCCCGGAAACTTCTCAATATGATTTTAATGTGTAGCGGTTCATATTTCACGCTTTCCCCCCTAATATGATACACTAGTGTGCAAATACAAATAATGTCTGTACAATAATAATGAGGATATAGAAAATGACTGAAATGAATTTTTGCTCATTTTTTCAAAAAGGAAAATTTGGGCCATTAATATAAGTGTTGTCACTTTTTGGTTCTGTTACAAAAAGAAAATAATATATTTTCAAAATATTTCTGCAAAATATTTTACTGTAGACCAAAATAATCAGTAATCCATGTACAAGAAAAATTAGTGTGTTTTCTTCTATGCCAATAGGGGCATCAATACTACAACACAACCTTTTCAAAACTATTCAGGCACCCCAGTAAAAGGACAGAAGATAAAAGACAACAACCTCTGAGAAATGAATATTATACAACACACACCATCTAACTAGTTTCCTCCCCGCCCGTATTAAGTCACACTAATTAGGTCACAATGTTTATCATCAAACCTTTGCGACAATGGAGTCACATTCCCATACGTCTGAATGAATGGTAACTCAAGCCATCTCTAACGTACTATCAAAGACATAAAATATGGTATGTCTCATAATCTTACAGTTTTGGTACTATATTAATTAAAAATGTCTAAGAGCAGGTAAATGGTGCATTTTTTTGCACCACATTCTATGATTTAAGACCAGGCAAGAGAGCTCCCAGTACCGCTAAATCACAGCGACCTGCATCATAAGGTCTTTGTCAAACACCCTGTCCTTTCAAGCGGACAGGAAAAGAATGGAAATGGCTTTTACTCATACGAAAAATAAATTTTTGCATTTTTTGGTCTATTCTTTGCAGCCACCCAGACCTTCCCTCTCCCTCGGTGCTTTTTAATGACTGCCTGCGATATAAACTCAATATCCCAAACAAGTCAGATTAGCAGAAGCCCAGCAGTCCATCGCCTTGCCAAAGCACACACTGCAAAACACGTTTAACGAGCTCAGACTGTGCTTCTGAGGAAAGTGTGCAAGGATTTTGGCTACAAAAATTTTTTTCCAGAGGTTTGATTTTCCCCATCTGGTGCTCCCCATGGACTGTACCATGACAAAGAAGCTGGGTGGGCAATGGAGCTGCAAAATGTGCAATAAACAATGGTTTAGCCGGATACACTCCTCACATGTCACTTCTCTAATAAAACTAGCTAAGTCTCTATGCAAAACCTTGAAAATGTTGATTATCTTCGTAACAATTTACAGATCCTCTCTGCGGTGATTTTCACACTCCCCTGAGGAATTTAACATAACCTGAAGAGTCTAAAAAGTCAGCAGAGAGGGCTATCAAATAGCTTATGATGTGTCAAGGAATAATTCTATAATATATTCAGTATCCACTCCCCGATCATCTTAGCCACTTCCTTAATAAGTACATTCTCAAAATAATAAACGACAAATCTCTAATCCCAATGTTCCAAGCAACTATACACAGCATTGAGACGTGACACTTTATATATTCTGTAAAAAACATACAATCATTCGCTATTGAAATGAGGCGGTAAAGTTCCAAAGTGACAAATGCAATCATTTCAACAGGACCCGTACACCTACTAAATATGCCAGCCAACGATTCTGGACAAAGGGCATCCTAATATGGAGGCTCTACTTAAATTATATATGTATCCATCATTTAAAATTATAGCGATGTGTTTTTTTCTTCGATTTTTATACAATATATATTCCTTTCACAATCTGAGTGGATTGTCGTCTTCATAAAAGTTCATAAAGCATATAAAGTGGGTATTAGATCATAACATCATAGTGTCTTTTTAACTTATACCAACATACTGAATTAACCCACAACGTTCACATCCTTTCAAACAGAACAGCCACTCGGTTAACATGTCGAGAGCAGCGCAAAGACGAGTAAATGACTGTTACTAAGTAGCCTACAGAACACCGAGCAGACAGAGACCCCAAAATATAAAGAACAGAACAGACATTGTTCGACTCTGTGCCTTCTTTATACATGCTTTTGCACTAAGGCTAAAGAAAACTCAACAGACAATACCTTTTCTTCACCAAAATGTTTTTTGCTTTCTTGAAAATGGGAGAGTTGGATAAATTTGCAGATTTTGTTTTACATTCGACAGAGCCTAAAAAGTGCTGACCATCTTTTGCGATAGGTCACTACATCTTGAAACTGTCCCTTGAATAACATTTATATTATCTACCGTTTTAAACACACTTTAGTCGTAGTACAGCATTTACATGTTATATAACACACATATTCATATCATTGCGCTCCTCGAACCTTTTCTGCAAACCACTGGTTATCCCTGAATGAAACGACTCCATATAAAAACCTTGAGACATTTACACCATTCCCAAACAACTCGGTCGTCTCAAACCGTAGCTGGGGAGTAAAGGTGGGGTGACTGAGGGTGGGGCACATGGGAAGTAACGTATATGTGCGTGTTTTTGTCAGTGTCTGTGAGTGAATCTGTGTCTGCATCTTAGAGGAAGAAGCCTTTCACAATGCCATTAATTGAAAGAAACAAATAACAGTCCTTGATGAAAATCCCGCTCCGCTCCACCAGCAAAAGGAAGAAGTTATGAAGGAAGGTTAAGGAGAAAGAAATCATGCCGCTGAATAAAAGTAATTTACCGCCGCCTTAAAACTGTATGAACACAAGATATGCAAAATCAGATTACGTTAAACATCCTTGTAGTGCTTACTAACTGAGCTAGAGTATTTACATTTCTGTACGTGTCTCTATTTTACAGAACAGCATGAAGAAAAATAAAACAATTAATTCTCTTTAATTTTATTTGTGTTCCTTCCCCAGTTTTTAAAAAAAGCAGTATTATTTCAAAATTTAACTTGGCACACTAAAATACTAAAATGAATCCCATGCAATTAATATACAACTAGTGAGTTTAATTAACATAAGTAAAATATTATAAGTTACAGAAGGAAAAACAGAAGTAAATTAAAACGCCTGACAAGATATTTTAAATACTGAAATGCACCTGATTTCAAGTATAACAGGTTTCTTCAATTTAAAGATCTGCAACTTAATAAAGTCTGAATATATTATCTATGTCACTTTTCTATATTCATTTTCATACAGCTAGTTTTTGAGACTCGTTTACAGTCATATATATGTTATTGCATTGTTTTTGCATATCTTGTGGAATGCGCTTGCGCACCCACGTGCTTCCTCCTTGAACCCTGTGCGTAAGCGAGCGTGACACAGCACGCGCCCACATCGCACCGAGCTACCATCATCTTTTAACACACAAAGCCACAAAACGGTCAGCCACAAAACGGTTCAGCCACTCGGTCATGGATGCCACTTATCCATAAATTATGGCACAACCTGCTTTGGAGGAAAAAAAAAAAAAGATAATCAAAGAAACAGGATGGAATGGTAGAGGATAATCCACCTGCATGGCACAAGGCAATATACTTTGCATTTCTTTGTTTTGGGTGTGTGGGTTTCATTTTAATGTAAACATCTACCAGTTGCAACTCACTGAAATCATTGTGAAACAGTTGAAAAGCTGAGACACCGTAGCCCCATCAAACACATGGTGGTTGAAAAGAACCTAAAGAGAGACGTGTGATAAGGGAATTCTCTTACAGATTCAGAAGCCCATTGTGATAACATGCCCAGAATAGATCCAGACAGCATTGCAACCTTGACGGTCTTGTTGCTGATAAGGAACGAAAATAGAGTAAAAGACCCTGGACAAAAATCCCAAAGATGGGTCACGCGATAATGCAGACAATTCAGTAGATGACCCTGAAATGACTGAAAACCGAACAATGTACTACACATCATACTGCAACAGTTTGTGAAATGCCAGCTACCTCAAGCTTGCTGTAGAATTCCTTAAAAAACAAACAACAGTTGCAGGTAAATTGACACAGCAAATAATAATTGTACAAATGAAAGTTTCACTCCTCTTTTACACGCTGTACACAAATAGAAAAAAAACCCCCAAACATAATCATAACAGCAAAGCAATATTGTTTGTAATGTGACCCTCGAGTATCATACTTGCATAATTGATCTGTACGTATGACTCACGAAATCTCTCTGGCACTATTTCATTGTTTTTGTGAACTTATACTGGTATACGTATACATACAGTGCTGGACAAAGGTAAGGGAACACCCAACAGAAAAGTATAATAATAATAATAATAATAATAATAATATAGCCCTGTAAAACCATAACAGTTCTATGAAAATAATGCAAATTGGGCGACTCTGCTAGTTCTAATGTGAGCGTCTGCTAACTCCAGTCCAAATTCATCTCAATGACGGGAAACGACACGAGTCAGTCAGGGTCACAAGCCGCGCTCACATCACGCTCAGCTCAGCACTTCCCGCGTGGCACATCTAACCGACCTCAGTAGTTCACATTTCTTTTTTTTCTTTCTTTTTTTTTTCCTTTTTCCGAGAGGAACAATTAGGATGTTAAAGCAGCATCATAGCAGTGGAAGCATGTTGGTCTGTTTTCCTGGTGTGTGAGTGGGTCCATATGAAAATTACATCAGACTTTGGCTAACCTTACTTAACCTTTAGGCATATGTTTAACAGCAAGAAATATTCACCCACTCCAAATACAATTTGTTGCAGGGAAAAATAATAATAATAAATAAATAAATAACAATATGAAAGGTGCATACAGAGAGAAAGTTTCCCACTTAAATACAAACACTAAATCCTGCGGCCACAGGTTGGTTTTCCTAACTTCTTAAATCTCCTAAATAAATCAAGCAAGAACTGATTAAGGTCAACAACCAAATTTGTGGAACGTAAAGTTAAACAAAACCATGAGAAATACAGGCTGCTCTCTAAGTTTCGCACAACACTGCACTGTATAAATATACTACCTATGGTTTTGATTTTGATGCGAATGCGATTGGCTGCTCCGATTGGCTGCTCCGATTGGCTGCTCCGATTGGCTGCTCGAAGCCACGCACTTTCACTCAGGCAGTGAGGAGCGCAGAAGTGTTGGTCTCCAGCCTTAGGTACTGAACATCCTCCCCTCTTCCCCCGGAACTAGATGCAGGTCAAGTCCAGGAGGAGCCTAAAGCTACAGCTAAATCCACAAAACCAAGATGTCAACGGAAATGAAGATGGAATGAAAAGTGGAGGTACGTGGCAGCAGGTGGCGCTGTGCCTTAGGTCCAGACTTAGTTCTGCCCCCCTCCAATTCTTCCTGTGACAGACAGGAAGTGGCATGGGGCAACAGATGGCAACAGCGAAAAGAGAGCGGAGACCAGGGTGAACACCGTGTCCTGCATGCCAGCTGTCTCTCCGTTGAAGTATCTCTTCATCTCCAACTTTTCTGTCTCCTCTGCCCAGCGTTAGTTTTACTATCATTTTTCAAAAATGAATTGGTGCCCAAGGGTTGGAGAGGGAGGGGCAAAGGACCATACCCTCTCCATGATCCCACCCTTCTACCTGGCCTCCGGATTCTCCTCCCTGTCTTGTTTCCTGTGCTGGTTACCAGCTCCAACAGCTGGTTGGCCTGCAGTTTTGAGCACAAGACTGTATAGGTTGGGAAGAAAAGGGACTCGTCTTCCTCCTTCCCCAGTAGCACGTATGTAAGACCAACGCTGATGCCTTAACAGCCTGTAGAAACTGACCAGCACAAACTGTCTCCCAGGTGGGCTTGCTGTCCGGGACGCTTCTGCCTGGTGGCCAGAACAACAAGAGTCCAAACAAAACAAGACAAAGCAAAAAACAAAATGAAACAGAATTATTCATCCCACCCCCCACCCTCTATTTATCAAGAGCAGAAAAACTGTGAGGCACTTTTGAAACACACCCGGAAACACACTCACACAAAAACCAGGAATCAAATCCCAAATCATAATAAAGAAATAATGAAGCCCATCGAGCTGTTGGCCACCAAGATGCAGTCACATCCAGCAGAGAGAGAGAGAGAGAGAGAGAGAGAGACCTCTGCATGGTTAATCCTACAAACTGGTGACGCAGTCCATGTCCTCGTCGTCCAAGAACCCAAAATCCCGCGACCGTGAGTCAGCCGCCAGAGGACCCTCCCCTTCCTGCTCTTCCGCCTCCTCCTCCCCCATAAGGTGGGCCCTAGGCTCCTCCCCCTTTTGCCCACTCATTGCCCCTGGGGGCCCCTCGGTCTGGACGGGCCGTTCTGTGCTGTGGTCCCTGCAGTGCATGAAGGGTGGGAGGCCCCCGTTGGAGCTGGGCTGGCTGTTGCTGTTGAGGATGCTGTCTGCAGCACTCTCCATCTCCTCGATGGTCATGTCGCAGGCGTCGGCCAGCTCCTGCTTGGTCACCTCGATGAAGGAGGGGTCCTGTGCGTAGTGGCCAAGGCCCTCTGATATCAGCACCTGTAGGGGGGGCAGCATGGCAGACACCAGCTCAGTGTCCACATAGACTTAACCGCAAGCCTTGCAAATCCTAGTGCAACACTTAATAAAATCTTTATCCATCACAAACTAATAAATCGATTAAAGGCATAAAAACAGAAATGTAAACATGCACATTTAAATTTTAGGTTTTCCTTGGTGTTGCACTGCAATTCCCTTTCTGTTTCTTATTGAATGCATTTTGTACTGTTGATCCCGATGCGAATGTCGCCACCCTGTGGTCCACTAATGTAAATACACTAATTCTTATGTCAGTTTTAATTTATTGTGCTACTCTGTACCAGGATGCTAGGGGAACTGTATTCATATTTAAGAATCCCCAATTGGTGCTGTAATTTATTTCCACATTCCATAAATACATATTTATATTTATCTGATTTTATATGTGAATTTAAACTCAAAATGACAATCTTAGTTTAATCTACTCGACTTTACTGAAAGTTGTTAGATTGGTTTTAACAAGACCCACATCTGGGGGCACCCCTGGAGAGATGCAGCACCCCGGTGTGTTGTCAGGCTAAATGGTGCGTCCCGTCACACCCACTGTGAATTTAACGCGCCACAGGCAACCTGCACATAGTGATTTGTTCATAGTGATCGTGCTTTGGCAAGGCGTGTTTAAGTTGCTGTATCTGTGACCAGAAGGTTGCTGGTTCAAATCCCAGAGTCAGCAGAGTGATGTCACCATTGGGCCCCTGAGCAAGGCCCTTAACCCCCCAATTGCTTCAGGGACTATTTGACCCTGCATTCAATTATGCGTCGCTTTGAGTAAAAGCATCTGCTAAATAAATACGTTTTAATTGTAATTTTGGTCAGCCATGTGAGATGTTTGCTTATTCCATGGCTGCTGAGTGGTCACTGACCACGTCCACTTAGGGCGTGTTTACTAAACAGAGTAAGCAAGCGCTTCAAGCAAGCTGTCAAAGAAGGAAGGAGGGCCCGAGGCGGAGCAGGTGAGCGAGCGGCATCCTCACCGCCTCCACCAGGCTGCCAGCGCTGCCGCGACACAGCGAGTCCCTGCCCGCAGTGGGGGGCACAGTCAGGGAGGCGGGCCGCAGTGAGCGCCGGCCGGGCTGCACGCCATCACCGTCGCTGTACCACGGGCCGCAGTTCACCGAGGGCAGGCTGCTGTTGAGCTTCTCGTAGGAGCCGTCAGCCTCCAGGTGCAGGGCGGGCACGCGCTGGTACGCACCCCCCCGGCCGGCCCGCAGGCTGGGGCTGTCGGGGGGCGTGGAGCACAGCCGGCTGAAGAGCGTCGGGGAGTGGCTCCTTCGGAGGAGAGGGCTCAGGCCGGCCACAGCCAGGGCCTTTGAGGGCGTGGCGGGGGCGGGGTCAAAAAGGGGCGGGTCCAAGATGTGGGAGGGCCATGCAAAAAGAGAGGAGTCACACAGAAGTAAAGAAAATTGTGTGTAAATGCTGAATAACTAGAAACATTTTAAAAAAGAGTAAACAACCCTCAAAAGTACGAGATTAAACACTTCTGGCTCATTTTGCTTTTCTAAAAACATTTCTCTGTATTTGCTGCAGGTTACTAGTGGGTGGAGAGTGTGTTCTATACTATTTATTTAATGTAGTCCAGACACAAATAAAGATTGAAAAAGCAGCACCAGTTCAACCAGATTCTTCTGTCAGGCCGGGAGTCCAGCACTAATCGTGTTTGCATTCATGAAGGAGCTGTATTGCAGTAGTAGCTTACAGCGCTGGCCGGCACACAGACGAGCCAGACAGCAGGGAGAGCAGATTTATCCAAAATAAAAAATACTTAAGAATTTCGGGGAGCTGTAAATCCAGAGGACACCGCCACCAAACCCTAACAGTCAATTAATCAGAGCCAGCTGGGTTTCATTATTCAAACAGCACGCAGACACTAGGCCGGTTTTGGGCGATCTTGTGTTTCCATGGCGACCGAATGAAACCCTGCTGGCTGTGCTGTACTGCGGGTAGACCTCCCTCAGACTGACAGACAGACCATAGCCAAGTCTGGATCCTGTGTTGTCACGCTGACCGTAACTTTCCTTTGGAAAATGCCATATCATCTGGGTTCTGATTAGCTATGTCTCACACAGCTGTTAAAGGACTTTGAATTCATAAAGTACAACAGAAGGTGGGGAAGAAAATAAAGCTGAACACAAACACATGAATTCTGTTATAATTAAGCAAGCTACACAAGCTTGTACTCAACAGAGGTGTAAAGTTCAGGTTCAGAGAATACAAATCCAGAACATGATTTTGTTTCAACCAACCAGTTGAGTACTCTGTGAATGTGACTCTTTATACTCAACTGGTGGGTTGAAACAAGATCTTGGTCTGGATTTGTACTTCCTGAACCTGAACTTTCTCCACCTTTGGTACTCAATGCATTTTAACCAGGCTAACCCCCAGAATAAAGCTGGGTCAATGGCACACTTTCCTGCGTATAATATATACAAATTCATCTCTCTTGTAGTGTACTCTAGTATATAAGGAATTATTCTTCTTATATGCAGGTATTTCTAAAACTTTTAAAAATACATGGTCTCATGATGCAAATCAAGCATGGTTTTACTTTGAATTAAAATCAACGAGGGGGATATTGGGACAGAGGGTGAGAATGTACAGGAGTTTTCCTTCCCTACGCATGTGTCAGCTGCCATGTGATACACAGAGAGCCTGCCTGCCTTTCAGAGTGTGATTAAGCTTTATAAACATGGTGTGTGTGTGTGTGTGTGTGTGTGTGTGTGTGTGGATGCACCCACCTGATGGTGAACGAGGTGCAGGGGCAGTGCGGTCCTCTGGGAAACATCCGCTCTTGCCTGCCGTTTAAGACACTCCAGGTGGAAGGAAGACCGTCGGGCTGTGGGGTGGGGGGGGGGCACAGATCGTTAGCTTAGCTTAGCCGCTGCTCACATTGAGGAAACACAGCGGGACTGGAGACAAGCAACATGACTGGGAATATAGTCTAAGAGCTGGGTGCAATGGACAGAGCAGCCAATAGAAGGGTGGGGGAAGGAAGGGGATTAGCCGGGGGGGTGTTACTACTGACTGGGGGGCTCCTGGAATTTAAGAAACCTCCCACCACAGAATCCAAGCCCATTGTATTCCCCCCAATTGTGTCGGCCAAAGTTCAGTTGACATTTATGCCCCATTATACTAAAATTGGAACCCTTCCGGAATTTTGAAGGTTCGAAGTCCGAGGTCCATGCCATTACTCACAAAAGCACCCACGGGTCGGCGTAGGGGTAACCCAGGGGAAGTGATGCCAGCGGCAGGTCTCACCTAATGCAGTGGGACACAGGAAAGCCCTTCTGGGGGATGGCCAGGCGCGCCGGTCGCTGGCATCCTCGCCTTCCTCCATGGGAGCCAGCTGCTTGCTCTCCTCATCCTGATATGCCAGCCTGCCACAGAGACACACACACTCGCCATGAGAAGGACGGAGATAACCAACACGAACATTCCATAATGCGCCAGACAGCTGTGGGTGGCACGGTTATCGGCAACATTGCCTGGCGCCTCTTGGAGGTTAAGGTCTTGCCCTTTGTGTGTGTGGAATCTGGATAACCTCCCTGTGATATGCAGGATTCCCCTAGAAACTCCCCCTTCCTCCCGGTGTCCAACGATATGCAGTTAAGTGAATTGGTGTCTCTAAATTGGACTGGCATCCCTTGTTGCTGTCTTCCAGGCTGAACAATGGGCAGATATCCAATCTTTTTGCGAGATGCTAGCATCCTTTATAACACTCTTTTGGTGCTTTTCCACTGCCCTGAAGAACTGAGCCGTACCCGAGCTGTACTGCAAAGTGTTTTCCACTGTAAATTAAGCGAGCCATACCGACTCTGGGTGATAAACTGAAGGAAAAAGGGCATATTCTACATATTACTCATCGCGATGTATTGATGTATTCTTGATAACCTGAACATTTCCAACATCCTACTTAAAAAAGTATTGGAGAACAGCTGAACGGAATGGATTCGTAATGTGAATTTATGCTAGCTAATGCTAATTCTACTAGCATTTGATGCTAACATAACATGGCGATTCTCACAGATGTGCTAGCAGAATTAGCGCATATTAAATGAAGATGAACATGAACAGTGAACCCAGCAATGCCTTTACCGAGCTGACGTTTCTACAGTGGAAAATCAGAATGAGCTGAAACTGCGCTTTAGCTATTGCTTCATCATGGTACAGGTCGGATACGGCCTGGTTCCTGTATGCCAGTGGAAAAGCGCCATTAATTTCAGGACACAGGCTCTGAATTATGATATAAGTAGCTATAGTACTCAGTCAGCCACATGAAACTGACACAGATCGCCGACTCTTATATGTCAAGATTTCATTCTAATTAATGTTTTTTTTTTGTCTCGCCTTGTGTTTTGTGTTACTGGATAAATGCTTATAGATGGATGGATGGATAGATGGCATGTACTGTATATGTATATGTGTGTGTGTCAGTGAGCATATGTATCTGTACTGCTAGGTGTAGCATGTGTATTTTAAAATGTGACAGGTACATTTCAGCGGAGAGCATGCTCTGGTCGCTGCAGTACTCCCTCTCGTCCACGAAGCTCTCGTCGTACGTTTCATCGACGGACGCGTCCTCCCTACGAATGATGGGCAAGCGACTGTCGCTGGAGTCCGAACTGGAAGAGAAACGAGGGGGTGTATTACGTGATTAGGCATGGGGGTGGGGAATGAAGAGCAGCGATTCTAACCTACGTCTACATCTACAGGCTGTAAAGAAACCGGGAGCAGAGCCACCAAAGCCAGCCAAAGCACTAGGGATTTCACACAGGAATGTCAATATACACCTGAATGAGACGGCCCACTTTCCCAGAGTCCTTTGCTCTGAAACAATGGCCCCTCTGAGAATAAGTCGCTAACACTGCCTCTGAGCATATATGGGTGGATGTACCAACTACCTCTACCCAGGGGTGCCCAGTCTCAGTTATGGACAGCCTCGCAAGTACATGTTCCCCGAAATCTCTTCAGGATGGAACATCCAGGCACCTGTAGCTCACACGACGGAGGCAGAAGGGTTGTCATAACTGTCTGTACTTACCAAGTGGCCCAGGCAGTGACGCGTAACACTGGGACACCCCTGCACAGAACTGATGGGGTCTTAAGTGGGACTATACAGGGCACGCATGCAGCGAGCGTATGCACACGCGCGGATAAGCGCAAACAGCACGGACCCCCCACCCCCTCACCGTACCGCAAGAGGAACACATACCGCAACAGGGTCTCATAGTAACGCATCCTGGTCATAGGGGGGCGGGGGGAGGGGTGGGAGACAAAGGAGAGGCTGTTACTTTCCCTGGAGCACCAGCCTGAAGAAGCATGTAGGATGAGGAAGGGGGATGGTACCCGATGGTGCCGGGCTCTCCGCCCCAGCCTGACAACGGCAGATGGATCTAAACATGACTCGCCAGATGGATTTAAAATGATCTATCCAATCAGATGCAACGCATGGACTAAACCCTCAGAGGAAATTCTACACTGGGTTACCGACACATTTCAAGAACCCAAGCAGCTGGACACTGCTGAATCTTTGAGATTGACCCGACTTATAACGTTCCTGATTTAGAAAATCATTACATCCCAGCACCTAAACTTGACCAATTCCAAAGCTGACTGCTGGTCTCCCCCAGCACACTGACTAAGTCCCTTCGTGACCGACTGCGGTCTTCCCATTGCCCCTTAGCTAGTCCATTCTGGGGCCGACAGCTTCTTGAGCAAAAGATGAACAGCATCACCAAAGTTCCGGCTCTCTCACGGCCGGTTCATCCTCTTTTCAATGCAAATGGCTATGATGCGGATTAATGACCCAGATCTTACTTCAAAACAGGAGAGAAATGAGATAAAGACACTCCCCGCGCCATTTGTCATCCCATGAGGTCCTACAGAAAACCAGGTTCTTTTTAAGACAGGATCTAATGAAAGATGTATAAGAGACACAAGCTTATAGTGCTAAAAATCAGGATGTGAGGGAGATGAGTAGGAGACAACCAGAGACTGTCTGGGGTTTGATTCACTTGGGAAGAGACCGTGAGCACGGTGACAGTGTGAGAATGAGGAGGAGACGCTCACGGCAGGAGATGGGCTACCTCTTGGAAGGGAAGTGCCAAGAAGGACGGGGTAGCAGCGTGGGCGTCACGGACTGCCCACGGTGCCCGTCCACGGTACTGATGGACGAGCCGGGGAAGCGGCCGACGTTGGTGTTGTTGGCGTTATTGATGTTGGCGTTAGAGCCAGACGAGGAGTAGCTGCTGGGCGTGAAGGTGGAGTCCACTAGCTTCTCGTGGGACGGCGACTCGCCATCTCCGGGGCTGCCCGACTTGCTGAGGTGAAGGGGCCGCTGCGTGGTGAACGACTGCGGGAAGGTGTTGCGCCCGTCGCTCTGGTGGTAGTAGTTGACGTGGTTGCCGAAGAGGCCGCCCGCTCGCTAGATGGAGAGAGAGAAATGGCAAGGAAAGCATCGTTTGGTTATTCTGAGCTCATGGTCTAGGTCTGAGCACAGTGAAGCATGTAGTGGAGCAGGACGTTACCCTGAAGATGTCATCCTCCGAGGCAGCGCACACTGTCTCCTTCATGGCCTTCTCCAGCTCCTCCTCCACCGTCAGGTCCCCTGAGATAGCCCTGCGAATCTCCGGCCCCATGTCGTGAAGCGTCCGCAGCCCTGCCTGCAGGAATGGACACGGGCACAAAAACGTAGGAACGCAGACCAAACCGACATACCATATTCAGTGACTGTGGGCTAAATGCATCAAAAAGCGCTTAAAAGATAAATGTTACTTTAACAGCGCTGGTGCTAGGATGAAGGTTGACATGTCAGTAGTCATGTGGCACTGTCAGTCCAAACCTGAAGGGAGAGGGCGGTCTTTGGTGGCACTTTTGCCACCAGGCCCTGCTCTTTGCGCTTCTTGAACTTTCTGAAATACTCCTGGATCAAGAAGGTGGCATAGAATTTCCCCACGGTGACCTCGTCATCTGTGGTGTCAAAAGCAAACAGGACCCTGAGAATCTCAAAGCCTAAACTCACTGGACTTCACAGATCTGAGCTTCTCTGTCTAGGATCCTGCAGCTTCCTTGAGCTTCTCTGTCGGTGACTGAATTTTGACTTTTTTGCGCACTGACCTCCTGCAGGCGGAACCACCTGGTCCAGTAGCTTCATGCTGGTCCTTTTCCAGATCTTCTTCACAATTGCCCGTAGCTCCTCATTTGCTTGCTCCAAATTACCTCGAAATACACAAGATCATAAGTACAGTGTCCTGCTACGTTGACAGGAGTAGCAGCATTTTACAGAAGTGCCAGCACTGGAAAATGCTAATCTGTGGAATCAGTTTTGTTCTGTTTGATCAGTAAATTCTCCAGTCATATCTTATCAACTTTTAGATCTTCCATGACTGAAAGTCCGGGTGCTGAAAGTCGGAATGACCAATACACATTACTGAAGTCCTTGTGTACCGTTCATGGCTATTGACAGCTAACGGTGGCAGTCTTTTTGGAGAAATAATCGTAGAATCGCCTCTGAGCCACCGCGAGATAATTAACACAAATGTTGTCATGGTTTCATGTGTAGACAGGGGGCACATTAATGAACAGACTTGCCTAGGCTGCAGCTCAGGGGCCCAGAATGAGCAGGGGACCCCTAGTGGCCAACTGGTTGTTTATTTATTTTATTTTTTTTAATTATCCTTTATTAGTCATTTGGCCAATAGCCTTTGGCCATTTATTACATTATAAGGAGGCATCTGAAAATCAGTTTCCAGTACCTTCTGTCTTGATGCGCAGTGCCGTCCTGACAAGGGCGAACAGGGTGGCATTAAACATAACCGTCCCGTCGCTGTTCAGTGGCATGTTCATGGACACCAGCCGCTGCGGGGGGTGGGGGGGGGGGTTTCAGGGCCATGTGATTCACCCACCACAAGACAATCTCAGAATGTCCTTCCCTACCCGCTCACCTTCTTGTCCCCTTTCTTTTAAATACACTGCATATGTTTTTTAAAGATTTTCTTCTCATTTATGGTGCATCGTGTCTGTTTTTGGTAAGTCACACGTAGTTTTTTATCATTACCTACCATACCAGTCAACAGTTTCGGCCAGCCAGGCTGCCTACAAAGGAGAGTGATGGTGACACAGCACATGACTGGCCCACCTGACCTAATCCCAGTACAGATGGCTTTGGAGGAGCTTGACCAGAATGCACCCAATGGTGGCATCAGGATCTGAACCGGCAACCTTCTGAGTGACAACCCACAGAGCTGCCCAAAGCAAAAAATTATTATTTTTGCTTAAAACTTGCTCAGTGCATAATTACATATATGTTATTTTATAGTTTTGATGTCTTTATTCTAAAACGTAAAACTCTTCTATGAGTAGGCGTGTCCAAACTTTTGACTGGTACCGTATCTATAACGGTCCCGGTAAAATGTATCCCAGGTTCTGCCGTCTCAGGCCCTCCTCTCCCCCCTGCTATATCCCCCCAAACAACCCCCTACCCCAGGTCCTCGCCCCCCTCCCTGTCACCTTGCAGGCCACACGGTGGGGGCACAGCTTGCCGAAGCCCAGAGGAGGCTGAATCCGGCGCAGCAGCGTCACCACATCCAGGTGTTTGATCCTCCCCCTGCAGGCAGGCGACACGTTAGCAGGAGGTTAGCGGGAGGCAGACACCCGGCTGACGTTGATGACATCATCGTCCGTTAACAGGGCACCGCTGGTGAGACAGGAGCCATACAGCGGGCATGGGGCCACCCCCCCCGATCACCACGCCAATCACGCTTTCACCTATACGGGCATCATCGGTCTGTGCCAGCAGAGGGAAGGGGGTGGATATGAAGGGACTGGGGGGGTAAAGGGTTCACTGACTTGGCCTCAGGGTCATACTCGGCCCAGATCCTCTTGAACTCGTCGAGGTGGTGCGGGCCCAGAATGGACCAGTCTCGGGTCAGGTAGTCAAAGTTATCCATGATGACGGCCACAAACAGATTAATGATCTGCAGAAGGAAACGCAGAGTTGGTACGGGGTCCAGAGGATCTGCTCACATTTTACTTTAGCTTTCCATTTTGCAGCTTCATGGCAAAAATGGTTGTTTGGAGAATCAGGCTGCCAGCCTGTTTGACAGGGCCTCACCAGGAAGGCACACAGCATGTAGAAGGTGACAAAGTAGATGATGGCGAAATGGCTGCCACAGTCGTCATTGGGCATCCCCACCTCTGATCCATTCTCACAAGGCTTATTGGGGCTGCATGCAAGCATGATATCCTGCCAGGCCTCCCCTGTTGCACACCTGGTGGGGGGGGGGGTTACAGGTCACATGACTAGAGGCTTACATCAGCCACAAATATTTTGTTTCCTTACCATTATAACTATCTACCTTGTTCTACATGCACATATATAAAGAAATTACTTTGTGTGTTACCTCTAATTCTGCTCACAGCGTTGTTTTAATTAAACCTACACCACATATTAAGGGCTTTATCCATACTATGCTGGGAAGGATGCCATGAGACAGAGCCGAATACGCCGAATCCTGATATACTGTAGTGTTATTGGCAGTCCATTGCAGAGAGACAGCGCGGTACCTTTAGCGATGAGCACCAGTATGCGGCGGCTTCACTGAGGCATGACAGGCAGCTCGCCAGGCTCACCTGAAAAGCAGGAGGACGGCCTGAGGGAACGTCTGGAAGTTGTTGTTGCGGTTGATCTGGCTGGTGTCCCGCAGGGCGATCTTACCAAACATCTGCAGCAGGTGTGTGGGATGAGAAAGAGAGAGGTGAGACTGGGCTGAGGACATGGGAGATGCTCCTTCTTCTCAACATACCATCTGACGGCTGAACATGGTAACAAAACCACTGTAAAATATGAGAAACAGATCCCTAAACATACAATACAATACTGTGCTAAAGTCTTAGGCAGTCAAAAGAATGTTTAAAACTGTTTATTTGGGTATTATTTGTATATTTGCTCAGGGAAAAAAACACAATTTTAGAACAGAACACATGTAATTTAACAGTAACACAATAAAAAGTAACAAGAATTTCTCTTATTCGCCAAAAAGTCACTGATATCTCGCTGGATGGCTAGATGAACACCGCTTCAGTTCCCAAACCTCCCCTCAGGGGCACCTCAGCCATTCCATGTATTTATTAAATTTCACCACCAGCTTACTTAAATAATTAAATTGGGGGAAAAAATCAATGAGGTATTGATTAGTCATGCAAGGTGTACTAGTGGGCAAGTCAAGAAGTACATGGGTATATTGAACGGTTGCTGAAAACACTGGAGTCATTTTAGGACAGATTTTGAAATGGCTAAGCTGACACACTATGTTCAACAAAAAACCATAGTTTTATACAAACATGAATATAATTCAAACATTATTTCCTTTGCCTGCCTAAGACTTTTGCACGATACTGTAAGCATGTCCTTTCAGGGACTATCTATCTATGTTGAGCATGAACTCTCACCTGCATTCCAATTACAGCATAGATAAAGAACAGCATCACGATTAACAGGGCTACATAAGGCAGGGCCTGCGGTGAGAGAGGGAGACAAACATGTGGACGTGCGTCACATTTGTGTCATACAGCAAGTCTCTGCTCGACCTTCTGTCCTTTCAGCAGCTTCCTGGCAGCACAGAAATTCTTCTCACACTCAATATTTTAGCTCATTTCAAACGATCAGTTCAAGAACAAACATATCACAATTAGGCAGCTATCAAGTATATTTATTAAGAAAGATGTTTCTAGGGAAATATGTCACTGTACATTATGAGATAAAAGTTGAGTGAGTTTTGCCTTCCAAACATACAGGTAATTTCCTAGAAGAGACAGATTTAATTACTTCTTTGTTCCTTTTAGTGTGTATTGGATCCTGAGAGAGTGACGTTACATCAATGCCACTTAAATGGCTTGTGACTATCTGAGACAGTTTAGGCTGAAAGGCTTGTCTAGTGACTTGTCACTGAGGAAATGTGCTGAGCTGCCCTGTTGCATGCTGGGTACAGGACGCAGCCTCACTTGAAAGGACTTGATGAAGGTCCAGAGCAGGGTCCGGATACCTTCACCCCGAGACAGCAGCTTCACCAGCCTCATGACACGGAAGAGCCGGAAAAAAGTGATGGAGATCCTGGCATTGTCTTCTCCGTTTTGTGATACCTTTTGTTTAGGGACACAGACACACACACACACATACACATACAGACACACACACACACACACACACACACACACACAGACACACACACACATACACATACAGACACACACACACATACACACACACACACACATACACATACAGACACATACATACCGACGTACCA